GCCCGCTCCGGTGGTGCGATCCCGGGCCGGGCCCCGCGCCCCTCGCGAGGCGGTGACGCACCGGGGTGCCCCGCGCGCGTTCTCCGCCGGCCGGAAGTGCGAGCCGGACCCCAGGCCCGCGCCTGAGCCCGCGTTGCGAGTCTCCTGGCCCCGTCTGTGTCTCGGGCCTGTGGGCGGCGGGAGGGCCTGCTGGGTTTCGGATCGGGTGGTTTTTTTTCAACACGAGGACTTGTGGAAGAGTTACGCCGGTTGTGCGTGAGGGCGGCCCTTGTTCGGCGCGCTGCCCGCCGAGCCCGCGGTTGGGGCCGCCGTGCCCTGTGCGCTGCGCTTGGGCGGAGCTCCGCGGCCGCGGGTCCCCGGCCGGGCCGCGGCGCAGGAGGGCGGGCGCGGGTGCCCTTGGGGTTTCCTCCCGCGGCCCGGGGTTGACTCCGAGGCCTTGGAAAATTATTTCTTGAGAGGCAGCTTCTCCCGGAGGCGCCCGGGCCGCCCGGCGTCGCAGGGCTGGGATTATAGGCCTTCGGCCCCACACCCAGCTCAGCCTGTTCCTTATTGGACAGTGTTTTCTGTCTGTGATTGCGAACGATGCATGCTTTCCAGTGGTATGTGCGTCCCCTCTGATGAGACGTAATGTTTTGAAACCTTGCTTCTCCTGTCAGCTGTCTCGGGAAACTACTGTGTTCTTTAAAACATTACGCTGTCACATCTGCTAGTTTAATATGTTTTGCTGAGGTAGCAGACATTTGTGTGTCTGAAAATTGTGATGGTTGCCACCAAGGTGCTTCGGGTGTGGCCCAGAAATGTGTGAGATCTCAGCGTTTACTGGTGGCCTCCTTTCATTTGCCTGCTTCAGCTTTCATTTTAACTACCTCATTCATACTTGGCCATCAGGAATACCAAGCCTGTAAGAGAGAAGTATTAAATATCACGACATGGTAGCCCAAGCTGATGGATGCTTGAAGCTACGTGCATAGGGTTTTAGTCTTTGTATCTCCCGGAATGATTGTCTCGGGTAGGTTCTCACTAAATTAACAAGTGCCTCCCCTCTTGGCCAGGGAGTGTCTGTAGGTTTTCTAATGTGTTTGCGTTGTGCCTGGAGAGCACCCTCACTTCGTGAGGAAGGCGAATCCGCCAAGTCTCAGCCCCCGCTCCTCTCCGTGGAAATGCTTTGCGTTACACAAGTTTTAGAAACCTCTTCTGTGTGCTGAAGTACGGGGGAAGCGTGTGGCCCTGAGCATGTCAGTGCGCTGGGCCTTCAGGACAGGAGGAGCCCTTTGGTTTAATCTCAAGTAGATGGATTCTGAAATGCAGTTTTAAAATTTTTTTTCAAAAGTAGCCTAGAATGATTTGTGGTGTTTTGCTGTTGCTGGTCTGTTTGTAAATGTCCACGTGGATCTGTCACGGTGATGGTGATCCTGTCACTGAGAGCTCTGAAGGTTTGCTGCCACCGATACGTAGCAGCCTGTGCTGCTTCCACAGGCTGCCGAGCTGCGAGCGTACCTCAAGTCCAAAGGAGCGGAAATCTCGGAGGAGAACTCGGAAGGCGGGCTTCATGTGGACCTAGCTCAGATCGTTGAAGCCTGTGACGGCTGTCTGAAGGAAGACGATAAGGGTGTGTTTGGATTTTTTGTAATATTTCTTAATCTTTAAATTTTGTTATGCTGCATTTTAGACCTCTCAACACTGCTTTAAATCTTTAGGCAATTTTGGGAAGAAAACCTTTTAATATTTATGTTTTTCCGGGTTATTATAGTCATTAAAATGCTGATAACTGAAAAATGAACATCAAGAAAAGAATGAGGCTTCTAATTCACAAGAGTTAGATAAATACTGAACAGGAGATAGTTTCAAGTGGTGTGAAAACATCAGTTATCAGGCTGATTCTGATTCCCCATTTATTGAAATAAAGTGGGGAAATCTTAAGATTGCAAGTTCTGATATCTCTAGATGGGGTTTAGAGATTAAACTTGGCAAATGACTAGTATATTCATACTTGAAAATGAGCAAACCAACCAGAACATTGATAGCTTTCATCTCTGAATAACTCTTTACATTCAGTACAGTTTTCCACTCCTAGCCTGAAATTTAACTAGTAGCTTCCATGTGAGTTATTGTCCTGCTGGTAAAAGTAGGAATGCCTGTGTGTGTAAGCAGGGGGATCACTGCTCCGCTGTACTGGTTAGAAACCAAACTGTAGCAGTTTTCTTCTTGGTGGAAGGCACTGTTGCTTTGGAGTCTGTGCATACTGCCTTTTTGCTGCCCTCCATTGAAGGGGACGTGTACAAGGGGCTGCACCACAGGGGCCTGGTTATGCTGCTGTACGGGTCTTAGGATGGGCTGTTGAATGAAAACCCCAGGAACCCATATGTTAGTTGACACTGAACGCGGGGATGCGCTGCTGACTGTGCTGTTGCCACTGTGCAGATGTGGAAAGTGTGATGAACAGTGTGGTCTCCCTGTTACTGATTCTTGAACCGGACAAGCAGGAGGCCCTGATCGAAAGCCTGTGTGAAAAGCTGGTCAAATTCCGGGAAGGCGAGCGTCCGTCTCTGAGACTGCAGCTGTAAGTTCCTGATGACTGCCTCTAGGGTGTCCTGCTTTTCCACTCTCTTTGAATGGCTAAGCGTACTGGATCTCGGTGTGGCTGTGGTCCTGTGAGCTGTGACTGGGCACTTCCTTCCAATTCCTTGGTTGTTGGCCTCATGTGCAGCTCTATTGTTTGTTAACAGGCTTAGCAACCTTTTCCATGGGATGGATAAGAACACCCCGGTGAGGTACGTGGTGTACTGCAGCCTCGTTAGAGTGGCGGCGTCCTGCGGGGCCATCCAGTATGTGCCTACAGAGCTGGACCAGGTGCGTGTCTGTGTCTGCCTTCTATGAGTGGTGGTGCCAGGTGTGTGAGCTGATGCTGCCTTTCAGCCTGGGTTACTAAACTCCTTTGCTGCTCATCTTGTCCTAGGTTAGAAAATGGATTTCTGACTGGAATCTCACCACGGAAAAGAAACACACCCTTTTAAGGCTACTTTATGAGGCACTCGTGGATTGTAAGAAAAGGTACAGGTGATGGGTGAGCTTGCTGCTTTCTGTGTAGTGTAAATAGGTGGGGATGGTTTTGCGGACAAGGCAGGTGCTTTTGCTCGCCTGCATCCGCCACTGTTGTTTCATATCTGTTTTTTACATTTTCTTAAGTTAAAAAGAGGATAGCAGTGATTATGGTTTTCTTTCATCTTAATAGTTTTAAAAATTGAAATTTGTCATAGTTCTAAAGTCAGTACAGTAGTTGACCTGGAGCTGCACATTGTGTAAGACCGAGCTACTATCACTCTGTGGAGTGCCGGCAAGGCCCATGTGTCAGAGGTGACCAGACCTTCTGGGAAACAGTGCTTCTGACATGGACACTCAGAGCAGACTGTGGGAATAAGGAAGGAACAAGGAGGCGTTGTGCTCTGGTAGGGCTTCTGAGGCTCCCGTTCAGCCCCACGAACTTTATGCTCAAGATACGTACTTCTCCGTATGCTTAGACTTAGGGTTCCTATGAGCAATAGGTTGGCCCAGTTTTTAAAAATTGTTTTTTTTTTTAATGAAAGCTAATCTTAATTTTTTTTTAAATGTGTTTAGTACAGGGCCTACACGTTCTCACTACACAGATTGGACTTGTAGTGATCCTCCTGTTTTTAGCCTCCCAAGTGCTGGGATTACAGGCATGTTGTCACCATGCCCAGTCTTAATCACCATCTCTGCATCCTGGGGGCAGGGCTGGCATCGGCAGGCACACTGGGGATCAAACCCCGCTCCCTGTGTCTGCCTAAGCAGGCACTTTAGTCTGCTGAGTTATTTGGCCTTTCTTTTTTCTTTTTTTATCTTCTTGAGAAAAACAAGTCAGCCTTGTACTTTCTGTAGCCCAGGCTGGATTTGAACTCGTCACAGTCCTCCTACCTCAGGTGCCTGAGTGCTGGAATTACAGGTGTGCACTACCACACTTGGCTAATCTTTGGTTTTGATATTTTAATTTGTGTTTTCACAGTGGCTTTAGAAAAAGTAGCCAGTCTTCAGTTTAGCAATCTCATACAAATTTTCATAATGGCTTTTAGTTTCAGAGTGTTTATTATATATATTAGAGAGTGTTAGCAAGATTAATAGGTTTTTATTGTGTTAAAATAGATTGCTTTTGCAGACTTCATAACATCAGTGGAAACTGGACATTTTTGTTTTGAAAGTTGGAATGCTTTGCCTTTGAAAAGGGTGAGCAGGAGATTTTTGTCTTTATATCAGTCTGAAGCTGTGGACTGTGATGAGCTGTCAGTGAGCACCAAGAGGCATACAAAGGCCATTTCCAGTGGAGGCCATTGAGAGCCAGAGAGAGTGCATGGTGTTTTGTTTTGGTTTTGTATTTTAGGGGAGGGTCTGCAGGGTGCATAGGGTCTCCTACTAGATTGGACTCATAGTGATCCTTTTGTTTACAGCCCCCAAGAGCTGGGATTACAGGCACGCCACCAGGCCCAGTCTCAGTTGTCTCAGCACGCCCCGGGGCGGGGCCGGGTTGGGCCGCACCGCAGGCCTGGGGATTGAACCCCAGGCCCCTGCGTCCGCTTGCAGGCACTTTAATTTGGCCAGCCCTAGAGAGAGCACGTTTTAATGCACCTGTTGAATATGGGGCCTGTTTGATTCAAATGCTTAGCCACTTGTTGCATAGCCCTGAATAAGTTTCTACACGTAGCTGTACCTTAGTTTCTTACTTTAGCGTGGGAATAGTAGTAATGCACACCTCAACATTGTTGAGAGGTGAAGCACAGCGTGCATATAGAGCTCTTAATACAGGTTTCCTTCATGACCTGTTGGGCATTCCCTGCTGCCACCCTGAGCATTTCCAGGCTTTTCATGGGTCAGGTGATCTCCTAGGTAGGGACTCCCGGACTGGCACCACAAAAGCTTCTCCCCACTTCTCACAGGAGGGTTCTTAGTTTCTAACCCACCTACCCGCAGGTTACATGTAGAAGGAAGTGACTGAAAAGAGGTGCCCAAGACGTCCCATCACTTGGGGTCTGCTGTGGCTGTTGCCTCCCTACCGGACCTTCCTGGCAGTCCTGTACTCAGCCCTTGGCCGCCTTCGCACACAGTCTTGCCTCCAAGCCCTCTCTGCAGTTGGGCTAGGGGGCATTTTGTTCCGATTCTCTTTCCTTAACTTGGCTCCTCCCTGTGGGTTCCTTATCTTCTCTAATCCCAAATGTGGGGGTGACTCAGTATGAGAACTTTCCTGCTTGGCTCAAAGTGCCTTGTGGTCCTGCCTCACCCCAGGGTGAGCCTGGGGATCACATGGGGTTCAGGGAGAGGGATGGCTGAGGTTGGTGCACACACTTGGCACCTGAGCCCGGGCCAGCGCTGCTTTCAGGCAGGCAGTGCTTGCCCTGCTTGGGCTCAGGTGCGCACTCAATGCCGCGGATGCTGAGCCCTAGTCTTGGGCCGTAGGGTCCGTGTTGACAGTGGTGGCTTTCAGGTTTTACGTCTGTTTCTTCTTCGAATGCCAAGTGTCAGTTCGTAAGTAAATGTCTCTGCTTAGTTTTCAGAAGGCTCCTCAGATTTGGTGTCTACACAGTTTCTTTCCTTCTTAGCCAGTTCTTTTCTCTCACTTAGGAAGTAACCATTTCCATTCTTTCATTTGCTCAAGGCCAAAACCTGGGATTCTGCTTTGGCTTCTCTATTAAATCCCACATCTAATCCATTAGCAGGTCTTGTTAGCTTTGAAGAGATCCAGTCAGACCAACTCCTTACTGCTTCTTTGTTGCCTGATGGTCTACACCACAATTTCTTTTCTTCTTTTCTTTATTTATTTGATATAGGGTCTTGCTACACAGCTTGAGTCATAGGGATCCTTTTGTCCAGCCTCCCCAATGCTGGGATTATAGGTGTGCACCACCACTCCTGGTTCTGGGGCCAGCACGGCATGTGGTGCCGGGGATCAAACTCGGGACCTTGCGCTTGCCAGGCAGACACTTATGCCACTGAGCTATTTCCTCAGCCGTGAGCCACCATTTCTTACTTTGGTTCTTGAAGTCTTGTTTTTCTAACCAGTCCCTGCTTCTTTGCCCTTGTCCCATTATCGTCTGTTATGAGTATAGCAGCCAGAAAGTTGTATTTAACGTGGGAGATGAGCTTTTCCTCTTCTGCCCAGAACCTTCCAGCAGCTCCATTCTGAGTAAGCACAGCTTCAGCACCGGCACTGGCCCTCTTCTGTGACACCCCGTGGCACCCCTTCTTTAGCTCTGCTCCGCCAGACACCTCAGAAGGGCCTTCCTGGCAGCTGTCCAGCCAGACTGCACACAGCCCAGGCCTGCTGGATCCACTTCTTGTTCTGAGAGTAACAAGTACTTAGAATTGAGGTGGTCAGCATGAGGGTCGCAGTTTCATAAGTTTCTACTCTTCTTCTTATGGGACAGTCCCTGACACTGGTAGGTACACGGTGTCTTTGTGACTCTGAGTGCATACCAACAAGGGCTCCACGAGCCCGAGATGGCAGCAGGCAGAAGCAGTGGTTTGAAATGGATGGAGTACTCACCTTCCAGCAGCCTTCAGAGTACAATATCTGAAGCACACCAAGTTGAGGCTCTCACTTTCTTTTGGTTTGCTAAAGTATGTGTGAGTTCCCAGTCATCGAGGGCTGGGTTCTTTGTGTTGAGAACAGCTGGCATCCACGTGGAGGCACGTGCCGCTTGTCCTCTTGGCTCCACAGCAGGTGTGGCTGACTCCTGTGTGGGCTCTCATCACTTTCTCTGGTCCCTCTGGGCCAGCCATTTGCCCTCGGGCTTCTGTACACAGGGATGCAGATCCAAGGCTTTCCCCCAGGCTCTGCTCTTGAGGCCTGTTGTTGGCTGCTTCTCTTTCCCTTTGGAAGCGGCCTGCAGGTGTTGCACGCACTGTGATTAAATGAGTTGGGCCCTCTCTCCCTCAAGTTTCTGTGTCCTTGAGTGGCACCGCCGTATCTTAGCAAGACATCAGGTGTGTTCTCTACCTGCCATCCCCAGCTCCATGGCTAAGCACTACACCAGCTGTTTCTGTGTCACAGCCAGCTTGGTCACTTCTGTGGTGGCAGTTCTTCAGGTCTTGTCTTGTTTTGGGCACAGCACAGGTTGCCATGAAGGTGCATGACCCTCCAGCCTAGCGTTCCACCTGCGGTTGTGTGCTGTAGTGATGGATGCACTGACTGTGATGCCAGCATTCTCTTCCTCATCACACCACACACGTGGACAGCCAGCCTGTGTCACACCCAGATACCCCAGCAGGTCCCTTTGGGACCAGAACTGGCCCACAAGTTGAAGATGATTCTCACCCTTTCAAATAACTGAGAAAGTCAAAAGGAAGAGTATTTCATGACATGAACATATAAAACCTAACAGTGTCCATGAAACTTCATTGGTACAGACTTGTGCTTGTTTGTGAATGTGTAGTATGGCTGCTTTGCCAAGGGCTGAGCCATTCACAGCAGAGCTCAGCTAAGCTGCAAAGCCTGAGGTCGACTCTGGCCTTGTACAGCACATGGCCTCCCGACGTTTCAGAGGCCTAAAGCATTTGGCTTGTGTGTAAGTTGCACACCTCCGCTTTGCAGCAGTGGGCACTTCTGTGGTTGCATGTAATATCCTCTGTTGAGAGTGAGTGCTCAGGGGCTGGGGAGGTAACTCAGTAGAGTAAACGCTTCCCTGGTAAGTGCAAGGGCCTGAGTTCAATCCCCGGTTCCACAGGGAGGGGGGATGGACTTGCCTGTCAGCCTTGCCTTCCCACAGAGGTGTAGAGCACTTCCAGGGCCCTGAGTGGACGGGTACCACCCAGCCTGAGGTTGGCAGAGGCTGTCCTTTTTTTTTTTTTTTTTGCGGAACTGGGGATTGAACTCAGGCCCTTGTGCTTGCCACGGAGGCGCTTATTCTGCTGAGCCATCTCCCTTGCCCTGAGGTTGTGCTTTGGGATTTGAATTTTGTAATTTGGTTTTCTTTGGTGTATATGAGAATACCAGATACCATGCTGTGGGCTCTCACGTTATTTTATCTGGCCTTTGGAAAGACTCTTTAGCTGATAAGAGCTACCAGATTGGTGCTTCTGTGATTGCTAAAGCTGGAAAATGAATGTAGCTGTGCTTGGAGGGTAAACCAGGGTAGTTTTTCTAGTTGTGTTACTCTAAGGTGCTAGCTACCACTTAACTGTGCTTCTAATTATGTTTGTATATAGACCTTAATTTTGAAGGAAATTTTAGAGTACCGTGGATCTTTCTAAGATAATACTGGAGTTCCTTCTAACTTTCTGCAGATTGAATATAGATGTGGAGGGAAAATAATTTTTTTTTTTAAAGAAATTATTGTGTCCCCTAGTTTGGTAATGCTTGTTGTACACGATCAGAGAAACTTCTCTAGTAACATACTATAGAAATGATCCCTGAAAGTATAGCCTTTGGTAATGCTTTTCCTAACTGGCTGAAGATCTGTCAATTCAAAGGAAGTAATGATACGTAAAGATAAACATTTTCTAAGATTCCCAGGTTCGGTGAATGTATAAATTATTTTTACGATTTTCTTGGCCAGTAATAATTGCTATCTGTATGTTTTTAAGGATAAAAACATGGGAAGACTGTTGTGAGGAGAGTTGTTGGAATATTTGACATAGTTTTAGTAGTTGGTTTCTGGAACAGAGGAACTCTTTTTCTCGCTCTGAGCCTTTATACTCTGTCTTCCCTATGCCTGGGACATTGCCTTCCACCTCTAGTTGGCCAAGGAAATGGTGTTGAGGGCTGTCTTCTGTCCGGTCGGTCTCAGCTTCCTAGCTTCAAGTAGCCTCTGTATGCTTTCTGCCCTATTTTTATTACATCCCCTTTTACTTCCTTCTTGAAGTTGCTTTTCCCTAATGTCTGACTTTCCCTTATACATGAAGCTCCTGTCACCCCTAGGTATGTCATCAGTATGGTACTGTTTAGTGTGTAGTTCTAGTGAATGAACTACAGTAACTTATATTTAAGTTCCTGACACAGTATTTCTTTATAGCGATGCAGCTTCAAAAGTCATGGTGGAATTGCTTGGAAGTTACACGGAGGACAATGCTTCTCAGGCGCGAGTCGATGCCCACAGGTAATGTTGAACAGTGCTCTAGAGGGGGCTCATCAGCAACTCGAGGCGAGCTAGTCTTCAGTTGTAAAGCTCTGAAATCGTGTTGGTGCCCACCAGTGAGCCAGGACAGTTTGTTAATGTTCTGATGATTCTGCTGCAGAAACTGAGTTGCAAGCTTGGTATTAAGCCGCAGCTTGCATATGAAGTGGCCTCTGGTGGTCACTGTGTGGGGTACTGATGTTTGGGGGTTGTAGCTCCACCCATGAACTATACCTCTCTAACCTTAAGGTTCATAAGTGAGGAAAATTTGACTTGCTAGAAAATGGCCCATTGCTGATGAGAAAATAAGGGCTTTAAAAAGCAGTCCTAGATTTCCCTAGTAACAATAAGGATAAGAGGTGTTCTTTTTCTAAATTGAAGTCCTTTTATAGGGTTATTGGTCCTGTACATGCTAGGAAGTGGTGACAAGGGTAAGTGGGGTGGAGGCTGTGGACCTCAGCTTAGACTTTCAGGTTTTACTCCACTCCTCCTCTAAGGAGCCTTTACTGTATTAGGCAGTTTCTCAGCAGCAGCAGTGCAGGGCAGGGGCCTGATGCCAACCTGTGCCTCTGGGGTGTTTGTGAGGGATCCAGGAGATGGGAGGCCCCCAGAGCTCCTTGTCTGACCCCTGGTAAGGTGTGGCTGTGGTGAGCTCTTCAGTAATTACCTTGGCGCTTTGTCCTCAGCTGTGTTTTATTTCCTTTTGTTAAAATAGATGTAGCCTGTTTAATCTCCTTTCTGTGCCTTTTTAGTGGTGTGTACATTTGACTCTTAGTTTGCTAAAAGTTAAATTTTATGATCTATAGTGACAATGGATTTTGTGACATTGAGCTTGCTTTTTTTGCTTTCCAATAAAGGTGCATTGTACGAGCATTGAAAGATCCAAATGCCTTTCTTTTTGACCATCTTCTTACTTTAAAACCAGTCAAGTTTCTGGAAGGCGAGCTTAT